CCATCGGAGTTGGGATTTTAGATCAATAGGAAAGTTATTGGCATAATAATTATTTATCTCCGAAGTAACGAATATGTTAGAGTGAAACTGACTTGACTAGCGTGTATAGATGTGTCGATTGCGAGACACTATGGACAGTTCAGATTGGAATGACGATTTTTTTCTACAAGCCGAAACGTCATGTCGTTCATTTGGCCGCGAGGTTATGTTTTCGCTTCATTTTCGCGTTAAAACGAGCGTTCGAACACGATAAATGCGAGTTGCGTTTTGAAACAAAAAGCCGCTGACGTTTTGTTCCGTTTTCTCCGGACGAGCACTGGATAGGAAATTGTGATTTCGACTTCCACATGTTTTCATTTTCTTTGGTTGCACGAAATGGCGTACGGTTCGATTTTGAATTTCGCCGAGTTGTACACGTCAACACGAACGAACGCAGCGAGCAAGTGTAAACACTCACACAGAATTATAGGGGTGTTTTGGACTTATTCCATCGTCCGGAATTTTAGGTATTAGAGGACACAACGTTTCGGAAACTGGATCTGTTTCCGTCTTCAGGTGAGAAAGGAAGACACTACTCAGTTGGGCCCCTTAGAAAGAGCCTAAGGGACCCAACTGAGTAGGTGTCTTCCTTTCTCACCTGAAGACGGAAACATCCAGTTTCCGAAACGTTGTATCCTCTAATACCTGAAATTCCGGACGATGGAAAAAGTCCAAAACCTCGTAATTCTGTGTGTCATCCACCATCGTCAGAACCTTTTAAAATCTTCTTGTAAACACTCAGTTCCGCTCTTTCCGCGATCTTTGTACACAGACGTACAGCGCTTCGGGTCAAGAAGTGTGCGTTTAAATGCAGAAGTGTGTTACAGAAGAGAAAGTGCAGAAGCCACCAGCAGAGGTAAGGATCTAGTGTTCATTTTGTTAATAGTTGCAATTTGTGTTCTTTGCAGTTGTTGTGTGTTTTTTGTTTGTTTCTTTTGTTTCAGGTCCCCGCTCATATCCTGTGCCTCACCGTGGCGAGCGGGTGAAACAAAGAAAGATGCACGCCCGAAATTGAAATAAATGTTACAGTGACTGCAAGCCCCCTCCCCATTTTGGTTAAACTGTTTCATTCGTTAATAATTTTGACTTGGCAATCCTGTTAGTTCCTATCTAATTGGTACCGGGGGCTCTTTCCGCTGGAGTAAAGCGGCCAAAGGGTGAAGCTGACCACTCACTTCCAACTAGTCCCGAGGTCAAGAATACATGGTCTATACATCCACTCCCCCCATACGCCTGCATGGCGTAGTGCTTAATTAGTTAAGCACAGGGACAACTTTACCTTTATTACGTCTACCTGTTAGTTTCCACGTGTTCGTCTGTCAGTAATTTCTTTTCCATATTGTAGTAAATTTAATTAAATTTGGTTTTGTATCACTTCTAATAGCCTGTGCGCAGATTAGAATTTAAACCACTTTCGGATACACAAGGGGCAGTTATGTACGAACTGCGTGACCCTTCGGCGGTCTGGATCGTGTTTGCGAGCTAATGGAGACACTAACAGCGCGATATTCCTGTACCTCCATTTCGACTGCTATTATAATTTCCTGATAAATCAACATCATAAGAACTGTATATTACCTGGATCAGAACCCTCTGTCTCTGATTTTAAACCTGTGTTTTGTTTATTCGTGACAGCTGCCAGCTTCTTAGGCATGCATTTTGTGCTGTAAACGGAACGGACATCAGGCTCAGGGCGGTAGTGGGAGGTTGGAAAACGATTTCGATGGCGCCTAATTAATAATTTTTTTTACGCTTGTGGTTTTCTCAGAATGGTAGAGTTTTAATGCATGTATTGTATAATACGTGACATATGAATTCTGAACATCTCTGTAACTTACATTCAGCAAACTTTTCTGTCGTGAATGCTCGGTGTACAGGCCCCAAAGTACGATCGCATCAGAACGAAATGCAGCTAGTGAAATTTATACACGGTCTCACAGTACACGTGTTAACTGGTCGAGTTTCATTAAAAGGTATATGTGATTGCTAATTTATGACGTAGGTAGTGTGGCCATTAGAAATGAAAATATCTTGACAAGATTTTGTGCAGGTCTGTGAAACGAAATTTGATTAATATCGGCCAGGTAATACCGGCGCGGTCACAGTAGCCGAGCGGTCTAAGGCATGTACTGTCTTCGCTCTCTTTGAAACCGGGATCATGGGTTCGAATCCCACTCAGGGCATGGATGTTCAGTTCGTGTACAGGTAGAGACCTTGCCACGAGCAGATAACCCGCCCAAGGAGTCCTACCGAATATGTAAGATCTAGAAAAACCGAAGTGAACGGAGAAGTTCATGGAGGTAGGCCTAGGTCTAGTGTAGGCTGTAGTGGCAGGGGGGGGGGAAGGTATTACAGGCGTTGGAGCCCGCAAAAAGGCGGACATGATGAAACTAACAGGTGGTTCTGAAACACACAAAACAAGATGTATGTCACATTCCGGTTTGGTGTTAGTTACACTCCATTCTGTAGTGCTGAAAGGCTCCAGGTGTTTACTTTCATCAGTGTACAGATACAGACCTTTACAGAGATTGCCAAAGATTTGCGCAGACAAATAACATTTGGATGTTATATATCGGTGGAAATGTAATTATAAATTTTTAAGTCAATATTTTCGTATCAGATATCTGGTAATTTGAAAGTGGCAATTGCGGGAATGCATCGTTCTTTGGCTAAACAGGATGAACTTAGTGAAATGGTAATTGTAATCATGTGTTGGTAAACATATTCCCCATGCATAGGCATCGCTATAAATTCGGTATCTCTCATCAAGGAATTTTCCTCTTTACAGAAACAAGGGGATCCTCATATACCACCAGATCCCTCAGTTACATTCTCAATCAAGTCTGAAATTAAATTACTTATTGTATGAAAAGCGTAATGAGATGGGCAGGGTATGTAGCACCATGGGGGAAGAAGAGAAACGTACTCGTATTTGGAGATTAGGCGAGAAATCCAGAATGAAACAGAGCACTAAGAAGACCTACACGCAAATGGGAGGATAATATTAAGATGCATCTCAGAGAGATAGGATGGGGTGGTATGGACTCGGTTTATCTGGCTGGGGACAGGGACCAGTGGAGGGCTCTTGTCAACACGGTAATGAACCTGCGGGTTCTGTAAAATATTGGGAAATTTTTGAGTAGATGAGCGACTGATGGCTTCACAAGAAAGACCCGGCTGCATAGTGTTAGTTATTAAATGTGTAATGTGGGTTCATTCTTGTAATAATCTTCTCGCTCGCTCATTCTTGGAGCTGAGCCCCTCTTGAGAAGCCGCCAATTATGCAGCTACTCAACAACTTCCCAATATTTTTTGGAACAGGAAGGTTCATTACCGTGTTCACAAGAGCCTTCCAGTGGTCCCTATCCTGAGCCACATCAATCCAATCTATACCATCCTATCTTATCTCTCTAAGATTTATTTTAAAATTATTCACACACCGTCATGGTCTTCCCAGTGGTCTCTTTCCTTCCGGCTCTCCCACCAATATCCTATATGCATTCCTCCTCTCCCCATTCGTGCAACATGCCCTGTCCTTCTCATCCTCCTTCACTTGTCCATTCTAATTGGACTTGGAGAAGGGTAGAAGTTATGAAGCTCCTCATTATGCAGTTGTAATATTTTCCGCTGTCTTGAAAGGAAATGCTTATATGAAATAGTCTCCATTTCTCAAATTAAACAAAAAAAAACAAAAACAAAAAAAACTGAAATACCCTGAAAACAAAAAGCAACGTGTATACAATTGTATAGATTTCGGTGAATTTTGGACAGTTCACAAAAAAAGAAAGAAAGAAGGGCAGAAGAAATTAAAACTGAATTGGTTCCTTATGTTGTACATGGTATTATTGACAAGAATGTATTTGTTCTTCGTATTTTAAATGCTTACAACATTTGAAATAATGCTGAGAGTTCATGGCGGGTATAATGTCAAGTAATCTCTCGTTAGGGTTTTGTTACCAATGATTTGGATACAGAACACATTACAAGATATGATTCATTCATTCATTTCATTCATTCATTCATTTATTGTACATTCCATAAATCCATATACATAGATATAGAACCAGTCACATAATTAATATAGTACAATACAAATACAGTTTATAATCATTAAAATAGATTAAAAAAAAAGTGTTAAATTTATATCAAAAAAAGTCTTACATCACTATACATAAAATTATGCAATATTAAAATTATTTATGCTATTATCCTTATTTCTAAGCATATTTGTTACTAAAGAATTCATCACATGTATAAAAAGAGTTTTGCAATAAAAATGTTGTCAACTGAATTTTAAAATTTTTCAAGTCATTAGACATAGATTTGATTTTTGGTGGCAAATGATTAAAGATCTTTACCCCCATGTAACATATTCCTTTTTGGAAATGTGTCAGACTAGTTTGCGGATAATGCAGATCACAGATAGATCTGGTACTACAATTATGCATTTGTGAGTTGAACGTGAACAATTCCTTATTTACTATGACAAACAGAGAGATCGACAATATATATTGAGCTTGTATATTGATATCAATCACATTCCTGTTTTGTCTTGTTTGACTGCAATATCAGCCGTTTTTCAACTCTGTGTGCAGTAGTGGTAACCATCAGGGGCGCAGACGAGGCTAGACCATGCATCAATTGCCCCCGGGCTTTAAAAAATCAAAATCAAGAAAAGAAGGAAAGGTATAAAATGTTACTTCCAAAAGAAATTATTCCACAGAAAATGAATTGTTCTAAACGGCTTGATCTTAAAGTTATAAACACATTTTAGGGAATCCCCCCCCGGCAATATATTATGTCGGGGGTCGTGGAAAATAAGAGTATGAATGACGAAATTTCGTAATTATAACTCCAAAAATCTACGCATGCAATGAACCAACCAATCATATGCGTCGTACAGAAGCTGCACGAATCGCGTTTCGTAAATAGCCCGCCTTGAACTCCCATTGGTCGTTTGAATGACGTAAGAAAGAATGTTCGGGCCGGTTCTGGCGTGCACTACAAGCTTCTCGTTAGCTGATGTAACAGGCGGCGGTTTGTAGGAAACATGTTGTGAAGTATATATATAAAGTGAAACGCACCCGAATAGTGGCATTTGTAAGTAGTGGGTTATTGTGAGACTTTGTGCTGAAGGCGTACTTAGACGGAAATATAAGAGAAAAATAATCGTCAGTTTGAGGAGTAAACGTAACCTCACTTGTAACTCAATCCGCGACTGCAGTCATCACAGCAAACATGTTTCAACACTGCAAGAGGCTAATCCCAATGGTGTCGCGACGAGGATTTCTGGTAAACCAACAGCATCCAGGGCCAGTGATTCGCAATTTCTGGAGTCTGTATCGCCCTTCCGACATGAGGTCCGTTTTTCGAGATATGGACAAGGCACTGGAGAGGTTCGAGCGGGATGTGATTGACCACTTTCCATTCCGTCGAATTTTACCTCGATCGATCCCCATCCAAGGCATTGTACAGCGTGGTGATGTCTACCGGGTCAACGTGGATGTGGACGGCTTCAAACCTGAGGAGATTAACATCTCCATGAAAGACAACATCCTTGTTATCAGGGCAAGAATGGAGAGGAAGGGAGAGGACGGTAGCAAGTTTCAGCAGGAGTTCACACGTGAGATGACTTTGCCGGAAGAAGTGGACCCCACCTCATTGAAGTCCTTCCTGGGTAATGACGGCGTTCTGAGCATCGAAGCGTCGTATAAGCCAGAAGTGAAATCGAAAGAAATACCAGTGAGTCGAGAGTAGATGGATGGGTAGCTTGTGGTTTTGCTGGGGATGAATGTATAACCATTTACAGGGAATATCTAGAGTTAATAGCACATGATTTAAATGTAAAACGCTTTCAGAAGCTGCAGTATATATGTGAATATGTTTTGTTGTAATATTTGGTTAATTTCCACATTTCTTGTGTAGTGTAGTTGGGCAGACTTTTGTAATTTGCACAGTTGTAGGTAAATTGAAATTAACATACTAGATATTATGTGTGTGTCATATGTTGTGGTGATTTTTGTTAAACATTGTGTAACCTGAGGTTTGAAAACTTCGGCTGTTGGTCACTGAAAGTGGTGAAATGGTGGGATCCCATTTCTCTAAGCAGTCAACACAAAATTTTGTTCCTAGGGCCACAATTGCAGTGAGACATTTGCCTATTTAAGACCTGATAAATAAAAACTAGTGTTTTAAGCATGTGAAATCAAAGAAGAGAATATATGAAATGATAGATAACTGTACTATCCGAGGGTAGAAGTTGAGATTGTGGTGGCATCTTACAGAGAGGGAGCCCATTTTCAGTGGTTACTTGTGAGTGCAGCGCACATATCTGATGATAATGCCAATACAGGTATTCTTTCATTCTGCAATAGTTGTGTCCTAAAACAGAAGGTAAATTTGATAAATTTAAGAATTTTCTTTTCCCCACTTGCGTTTCTCCTCTGGAAACCCACACAATCAACTCCCTGTTATTCTTGATTGTTCATAAAGCAGATGGCATTAGAAGAAGTGCTATTAATTACAGTCTGTTTAAATTGGCTGATTGCATTAAGATATTTTTTGTTTCTTGCAAATTTACAATCTACTCCATAGTAACAATATGAGTAATATGTAAATGGTTTAAAATTTGAAGGCTTGTGATGGGTACCATTCATTAATGGTTCTCCTTGTGGTTACATATCATCGAGAAGGTCTTCTGGCCAGATTTTCTTCAGTCTTCTTTTTTCTAAGGGTTGGGTAAAGAGGTGACTTATGAGTTGATTTACATGCTCTGTTATTCGGTCTTTGTATTTGTTTATAAAGTAAAAAAGTAAAGCTATCCCTGTACCAGGCCGGGAAGGCACATAGGATTGTGAGACATTGAGGGTCCCACATTGTCTAGACCAGCCGTGTCAAACATGCGGCCCCCATAGCAACAAAGTGCGGTCCCTCAACTTTTAACGCTAATTGATATTAAAATCAATATTAAAATTTTAGTAGAATTTTTTTTTTGTAAAGACAATTTTCCAACAGACCAGAAGACGAGAAGATTCATGCATGCATAAATTAGCAGGCTGCAGGAAATTAAATGTTTTGCTATTTCTAACATAATTTATTGTGTAATCTCTCTTTTTACATATTGAAAAGCTGTTTGATACTTTCAAAAATGGCATTCTCTTGCTTTTTTAAAACTGTAAGATATGTGACTTTAGGTAATTATATTGAAATTATTCCTAAATAATAAAGAATTAAATTTCCTTGTATCAGAATCTAATGTATATTTATATTTTGAAGTGCGGCCCTGGACTATTATTTACAGGGCTGAGGTGGCCCTCTGTACAAGTTGAGTTTGATATGCCTGGTCTAGACAATCGGCTCAAAGATGGCGATTTGTTTATGTTTGACTTAATTACATCTTGTATTAATGGTATTTTGAAGTTTGATTTGTTTCATTCTGGTCCGTCACACTAACAATTATAAATACAAACCACTCCATCCAATGTGACATATAAGTGACGTAGTAAAAACTTATATGTTACATTGGAGTGGTTTGTATTTATATTTAGTATTTTGAAATCTTTATGTAAAGTTTGGTTAGAGATTGACCATGGTGCTCCAGATATCATACGGAGTGTTTTGGATTTGAAAGACTAGAGTATTTTGGTATTTGATTGTTTACTACAACCCCATAGTTCTATACCATATGTCCAAATTGATTTAAGTATGTATTTGTAAATGTTTAGTTTATATTGCATTAAGATGAAATCTCATTTTTCAAACCTGTAACAAAGGATACCTGTGGTCAGTAATTAATCAGATTCGCTGCAGAGAATGTAAAAGGAAAGTCAGTGAATCTAACATTTGTTAACATGTAGTACATTGTAAGTGTTTCTCATTCTGCAGTGTTGGTCCATAGTGTAAGACTGATATTTTATGTGCAATTTCTGTACCTTTGTTTTGATTGGTTAATTATATTATAATAGAAGACACTCTTATATTGATGAGATGCAAGTAGAAGCTAATGTTCCTGTCGGCTGTGGCAGCTTGATGGCTTAGTATTAGGAAGTGATAACACCCTGCCTTTTGTGTAAATATGTACAAACTATGATGAACTGAAGTTGATTCATCCATTGATCCTCCCGTCTTAGGTGACCCATGATAGTGGGATTTTAGAAATTGTTTGAATCAGAAGCGAAGTATGTGAATATGTGGGAAAGGCCTTAATTTGTTTACAAAGTCTTGTCCCTGCCAAAATGTTAAAAATTCCTGTATTATTGAGCCTACACCATAAACTCTGTAGAAAACTGTGGGATGTGAGGGTTGATAGTTAAGTGATGCAGCAACATAACCGCACAGTTTTCTTAAGGAATTCTGTTGTTTATAACTGTAGCGTAATAACAAGTTAACCATTTGGATATACTTTAATTATGCATCTTTTAAATGATAATGTAACTTTACAATGCAGTAAAGTGGAACAGTTTCTAATTTGCTGTATTAAATTCCCTGTTCTAGGGACAGTGACAACTGATACTGTGTGTTTTTATTTTGTATTTCCTTACCAAAGTTTTACATATCATTCCATAAGGCAGTTGATAACTAAAAGTTCCTTACACTGCGAGCAGCCAAGTGTTGGGTGAAAAATGCAGAGTCAGTTCTGACTGAGCCTGACGTAAGCAGGTGGTTTCAACACAAGCAGCTGTTTACTGTCAGAAAACAACAAAGAATATACAAGAAAATCACAGGTTCACTTGGTCTTTGCAATATTTTCCAGTGCTTCAGTGTTACTCTGCATTATTCACCTCACACCACTGTGTTGCATGTGACAGGTTAAGGATGGCCATGAGTGGACTTCAGTCATCACTCGTGGAGCTGAGCCCTTCTTGGGAACTTCCCAGCATTTTATGGAACCTGAAGGTTCATTACCATGTTCACAAGAACCTCCATTTGTCCCTATCCTGGGCCTGATTGATCCAGTCCATATCATCCGATCCTGTCTCTCTGAGATTCATTTTAATATTGTTCACCCATCTATGTGTTTGCCTTCCTAATGGTCTCTTTCCTTCTGCCTTTCCAATCGATTTTCTATATGGTGTCCTTTTCTCATTCATGCTACATGCCCTGCGAATCTCATCTTCCAAAAATAAAAGTCAAAGTCATGTTGCAACTGACAGTAAGTCTTGATGTCAAGCTCCATCTGGGGCTGGTGACCAGATATTTATTACTGTTTGACAGTTACGGTCTTGTTTATGTGGGGCGCCCTCTCTCTCCCTGAATTGATAATTCTAATTATACTTGGAGAAGAGTAAAAGTTATGAAGCTCCTAATTATGCAGTTTTCTCCAACCTCCCATCACTTAATCTCTCTTTGGTCCAAATATTCTTCTCAACACACTGTTCTGAAACACCCTCAGTCTATGTTCCTCCCTTGTCAGAGACCAAGAATTTCGGTCATACTTTTGAATATGTTAATATGAAAGAGATGGAGTAATAATGTGTGAAAGTGTGTTTTAAATGTTTCAGCATGAAATGAAAACAATTTTAAAATTGTGTGTGTGGTACTTGAAATCAGTATTGAGAGTATGTTGATTATCTTCACATTATCGATTCCAAATGTGTGCTTTCACAAGTTTTTGGTAATATAAATTTGTAATACCTACTATTGTTTTATGTTGGTGAATCATTCAGAGTAGAATGATCTTTCCAAAACATGTTTAAATCCAAAGCAGTTGGTACGCATGACTTTTGTTGGTACTGGTGTAGAATAGGATTGAGCCTGTGAGATAGTACAACATAACGCTGATAGATGGCGCGGCGATTCGGTAGGCGGTACCATCTTGCGGAGATGATAATGACTATTTGTAGCTGTTGCGCTCGGCGCATTTGCGTCTGTTGAACGCCAGGTGAAGTTTTGTCCGTTATTCTGTTAAACACTACAGTTATTTTACTTAAGCATAAAATGCGTTAACATTGCTCAACCAAAATTCCTATGCACATTATTTGATTCTCTAAGTATAGTTCGTTTTCCTCAGTTCCTCCAGGCAAATGCTGGGAAAGTACCGCGATTAGAGAAAACACTTCCTTCCAGATCCTTTTCCGATTTATCAGGCATCCAACGCTTTGGCGCCGTGCAGTCTAGATCGGTCTAGATGTTGACGTAGCTGTGAAATAGCCCGCAAGAAATGGATCATTTGGTTTGGTGAATCAATTTCAGACGTGGCGTTTGCGAATAGGAGATTTGTTCTGCAGTGCTGTGATCTCTGTGACGTCATCAGATATAATGAGGTATAGGTTCGAATACCAACGAGAACACACAGTCGCTCTGCTATTTCCCAATTGGCGCGTCGTAACAAACCCATTACATTCAGTGCGTAATGATTCCGATAGCATATTGCTCTAATACGCATTCTTATCCTTCGGAATCCTAAGGTGCACCCAGTCAGTGGTGAATTATGATGTTTTAGTGGAAGGCGTCGGCTATGACATGGTCTGTTTGCGATTATTTACCCTCGTGGTTTGGGTCGACTGAGGAAAATCTCAGCATGGGGAATATCCGGACGAAGCGGAAGCAGAGGAAGGGTATAATGTCTACATGGGGACCGCAGGCCTGTTGGCTCACAGGCTTCGCGAGATTTTCCTCAGTTCGTCCAAGTGCTGAGACAATAACTTATTTTAAAATAGACCGTGTCCACTTCCACATAGTTTTCCTCAGTCCCTCCGATCAAATTCCTGGATAATGCCCCGATAGTCCATGACAGATTCCTTCCAATTCAACAGTTGCTATCGTTCTACCACTCGACGCTGCTGCTGGTGCCTTGTACTGGCTGTGTGGAACAGAGATGTCGGTTTATGGTAAAGTGGGAGAAGGCGAACAGTTTCCTGTTGACATCTGTGTTCCGACAGAAAGGAATGTTCGCAGTCAGGTGCCCCTGAAAAACGAATGCAGTTGAAAAGTCATTACACAAATGCGCTGCGACAATTCGGCAACAATGTGATGGTTCTGAAGGACGGATAACATGTTCAGTTGGCTCTCTTTGCGGTTCTGTGCGGGAACCACACCTACCGGCGTGCAGGGGAAGCTAGGCCAGCCCGCTTGAACAAGTACTTCTCCCGAGACGTGTTTCCCGTTCAGTCTGCTTGTTCGGGAGCTGCGCTTGGGGCTGCGTGGAGCGTGAGCCGTCCGGTTAAGGTAGGCCAGTGTTGAGGTGGTACGGTGTGCAGTAAAAGCTCTATGTTCAGAATTCCGTTTATCAAATTACACCATTAAACTGACGATTGATGACTCCGTTAAAATAGCTGATGGCGTGTGTTCGTCTGCAAACTTGCAAACGTACACAAGATTCTGGGAGTCTGACACTGTTCATTTTTGTCACTGGATTGACCATCCTTTTCTCGTGCTATCCATCCTTGCGTTGTGTTTTCGCAGTCTTGTCTTATCTCTTGAACGCCTCCACACTTCCGGTCTGCCGGTGACCGTAGCAGGGTAATTATCGACATGATGACAGAGTGGCCATGTAGTGAATGTTAGATGTACACCCCTGTGTCTCGACAAACCTCAGTGCGTCCTCTAAAAGGTTGGTTCGTTAAGCGAACGTCACGTTATGTAGTGCACATTGTCTAAAGGATATTGCGGGAACTGGGACTCCCGCCTTCGTCAGGCGTTCGGTTGCCATGATCAAGGATTTATACATTTTTATTAGGCTACTTTCCTAATTTTGGAGAAATAAGACAGATTAGCCCTCATAAGCCTACTTTCATTTTTTTTTTCAAAATAAGGAAAGTAGGCTAAAAACGAAATACACTAACCGTTGTTTGTGTATCAACTTCTGAATTCCTGGACCATTCTTTATGAAACTTGGCACCTGAGCCCAACTCAACGGGGCGCTTCATGATCCCTCGTATCAACGGCTCGGTACAAACGTTACACGCAGCAACACAAGAATTATTGGACTTGCTATTTTCTGTGAGGTCCGTGTCGTATCAAAGGAAAGTAGGCGGTTATTTCTTCTCAGAACTTATTGTTATGGTTTTAATGGCAAAAGTCAGGATCGAGTCCCGGACCATTTCCATGCCAGATACGTGGTCTGACTGCTAGATAACTGCACAATTTGGCCTTACTTACTCATGGAGCTGAGCCCTTCTGGAGGAGCCGCCAATTCTGCAGCTACTCAAGAATTTCCCAGCATTTTATGGAACCCGAAGGTTCATTACCGTGTTCACAAGAGCCCTCCACTGGTCCCTATCCTCAGCCAGATCTATCCAATCCATACCATCCCATCCTATCTCTCTAAGATCCATTCTAATATTGTCCACCCACCTACGCCTTGGTCTTCCCTGTGGTCTCTTTCCTTCTGGCTTTCCCACCAATATCCTATACGAATTCCTCATCTTCCCCATTCGTGCAACATGACCTGCCCACCTCATCCTCCTTGACTTGATCATCCTAATTATACTTGGAGAAGAGTACAAGTTATGCAAGTTTGGCCTCTTTCCCAAATATTGTTACAGTGGTCAAGTCACGGAGAATGAGATGGGCAGGACGTATAACTCCCGGGGGGGGGGCAGATGAGGAAAGCATACAAAGTTTTAGTTTGAAAACCTGAAGGGACACTTGAGAGACCTAGACGTAGACGGGGGAGTAATATTAAAGTTGATCTTACAGAAAATGGTAGGAAGTGTAGACTGGATTCATGTGGCGGGCTCTTGTGAACACGGTAATGAATCTTCACGTTCTCTAAAACGCGGGAATTCCTAGAGCAACTGAGCGACTGTCAGAGTTCAAGAATAACTCTGCTCCGTGAAGTTAGTTACTGAAAAGTCTGTTGGGTAGATAAAGTAAGTTTATTTGTATGAATGTAATCAGCAGTGCTACCCTTATTTAGCATTGTTTTCTCTATTTAGCCAACGGGACAAAGAGTTGTAGTTCGTGTTCTACATAATCTTATATCTTTCCGTCTGATACGCATGCGCTGTCTTTTTGGACATTTTTAAAATTGAAAGATTAACAACGACATTCCAAAGGTAACAATTTTATTTTTCCAAGTGCTTATATACATGTAAATATTCTTAAACAAGAAAGAGCCCCTGTGTCACCCGGTTCATCGTTTTGCTCGTAGGGCAAATACGACACCCAGTATTTCCATTACAGCGCGTCATGACAAGCTCGCAAACCTAACCTCAAAAGATTGCTTGGTCACACAAAGATCCTTCTTGACGTTCGTAGTTATTGCTGCAGGATATATGATTCGCAGAAACCCATCGTGGCAAAATGCTGGTGTTCAGTATAGCCTGTTGACATGCGTCCTCTGGTTCGAGTATCAGGAATCGTAGGCCTGTTCTGCGTACTCGAAGCTGTGGCACCATCTGTTGCACCTCAGTCCACACAAACTGCTCCACGCGTCACGTCTACGTGTCTCGTGGGGCATCACAAACCAACCAGCCATAATTTGTCACTTTACACACACAGAGTCTAACAGGTATTCTGGACAGTGTCCATCGCTACAGGTTTTTCCAAACATATTTCGAACACCGGATCTCTTTCTGTTCAGGGATTGGGGTTCTAACATCCGTTATCGACTGTAACACCTGATGATGGCAACAGATCCAGTCTCCGAAACGTTCTTTGTGGAAAACTCATGGCGATAAAATTTGTTGAGTTAACCAATTACCACGGTTCGTGAGCTATCATCACACGGCCCACAAGTTGCTATTTATAAGTAAAAACTTTTCTAACAAAAATTTGTATATATTTGTAATCATACAGAACTTGTTATAATGTGCCATGGGTTTATCAGCTTGCGGCAAGACTGTTGTCCTGTTCTGACTGCGGCTCTGTCGCTTATCATTGGATGAAAATATTATGAAATNGGTGACTATGAAGAAAGCAGTCTTCTGGGATTTGGCACCGTGTATATGTGGTGTTAACCCCACATATACACGGTGCCAAATCCCAGAAGACTGCTTTCTTCATAGTCACCGCCGTGAAAGCCTCAAATCTTACCTATGTTACTTGTTTATCTCAGATACATTTATGGGTACACCACGCCTTGTTCAGGTAACCCGCTGGAAGAGATTTCCCTAGAATCTCTGGTATGTGGTATCGTGGAAATAGGATCTACCAAATTTCTAGTATGAAGGAACAATCTGTGCTTAGACAGATCATGATCGCCTGTTGGTTCAAAGTTAATTTTGATTTTACAGAATATTTACAGAGCCAAGCCTCTTTTGAGCCCTTTTCTTTCGAGGAAACAAAGCAAACATACAACAAAGAATTCCGTTAGTAACTTTTCGCTAGGTTCCTGTACCTTAGTGTTTCTTGTAAGTACCGCTAGATGGTTGTGTCACCTCTATATGTAAAACAATATACAATTCTTGTCTTCAGTGTGGCCATCTTAGTAGAATAGGATAATTTTACAGTGCAATTTCTGTATAAGCGAAGTCTTCGGAATGATTACTCTGTATGCTTACAGCTAAACTGAATATTAAACATATATTTGAGCATTCGAAGAAGCATCGCTCAGTGTATTGTAATCCTTGCAACTACAGTGTTGTCTTCACAATTCCACAAAATTTTGTTTTTCCTACTCTTTACTTTTACATGAAAATGTAATTGTATGGCACAAATGGATGTTCCCTACAATTTTCTGAAAAATAACACTCTAGTATTTTTAGACACTAATGAAAAAAAAAAGAACGGTTTAAAGAAATTGCTGGCTAACTTCTGTGCATGACCAGTGGATGTAGTGTGCGTTGTTCGGTATCTTGCATGCTTCAATGGCAAGGCTTGGCGCAGTTTACATTTCCTGCCCAGTTTTCCGAATATAAATCCAGAAAACGCTGTTCTGTCAGAAGTAACTGAAACCTAACATCACAGCATCAGAAGTAATATACAATACGGAAGCGGCCTTCTTTGTAAATCACTGTAAAAGTATTTAAAGGCTTACTGCGTGTAATGTGGTAATCTTGTTTCATTTGTTTGACTTTAGCTCACTTTATGTCTACCTTCATTCTCTGCTTAATTTGTTCGTGGCCTTTCTTTGCTAATGTCTCTGTTTTCATTGAATCTTTTTACTTTCCCCGTTGGAAACGCCTGAGACGCCATTGGTACAGTTCCTGTATCCATTGCGCAGCCTGGAGTCATCGCCATAGAAGGCTCTCTTGCCCTGGAAGTAAAAGAGCATTCACTGAAATGATGCGTTCATGATGCAGGGCAGTAGTGGTCACCACATGTGCAGATCCAACTGCACGGCCACATGGACCGCAGAGCTCAAAAGCGTGAACGTACCTTCTCAATATACGCCTTCGCATAGAAGTTGCCGAACAGGACTATGAAGGAAATCATATAAATGACCAGCATGTACTGCATCCACAGAGGGAAGTCACATCCCGACTTTATGCCGTTAATCCCCATGATCATTGCCGTTGTAAACTGGATCTGCAATCACATATTATTATTATTATTATTATTAGAAGGGGTGGGTTACCCCATGCACTTAGACCAGTTATTGGTCCATTGTGCGTCTCCCTTTAATTACTACTGTCGCCATACCCTACCGGTACTGGTGCGTGCTATCAGCCCCGTTCAGCCAACGAAGTCGGCCGTCGGTACCTGATATTTCCCCTATCTACCAGAGGCACTGGAAACTACTTGGGTGGGAAACTTGTTGCCTAATTTTGCTCAGAGGTCTCCTAGAGACATGAGGATCTTTTACATGCCGTAATCTACGACACGGGACCCACGGCTTGAAGACCCTTCCGGAGGACTTGTTCCCTGAATTTTTCCGCCGGGTTTGAACCCATGTACCTTGAGTCATGAGGTGGGAACGTTACCCCTAGACTACGGAGGCCGCTTGCAGTCACATACATCTTACCCTAAAGCCACTCGCCTTGCAGCCTGTCTCTTTGTGCAGAACTTCCTATAGCCCTGTAATGTGTGTATTCAACACCTGCCGACAGTGTTGGTTTTTTGCTTGGTGTTGTCTTAAAATGAATTGTAGGCTATTCTGATAATGAAACTGCTTATTTATAGCCACAGTGAGCATGCTAAAACATCTATGACTGTATTGTATTCTATTTAACACCCTATACAGTCCAGTCCAGTAAATTGCTGCCGGTCCTCGCCAGCACAGTCGTTCCGATGCTGAGCAAGTATCGTCAGTTTCCTATCCGTATTAATGCTGCCCACCCATCTTCTTTTTAGTCTTTCAAGTGGATATTTCTCAAGAACTTTCTTCCCTAAATCTTTATGAATTCTTGGCCTGCTAGCCTCCCCCTGTATTCTTCTAAATTCATGAGAATCCTTGTCCTGACATGCTTTTCAAATTGTTTACAGTATATATGTGGTTGTATAATGGCTGTGAAGCCGGGGTAGCTCAGTAGAGATAGTGCCTAGGCCATGGGCTTGAAGACAGACGAATGTGGCTCGATTCCCGGCGGGCAAGAGGGTTCTCTCTTCTCCGCAGTGTCCATACCTGTTCTGGGTCACACCCAGCCTCGTACCCAAATTGAACGGAAGGCTCTTTTCCTCGGAATAAAGCGGCCGGAGCGTGAAGCAGATCACGCCAACCTAATGTTGAGGTGGAGACTGGTGGATCTATATCTCCATTTCCCCATACCTTTTCATGGCGTCGTGTTTAATTAAACACAAGAATAATTTTACTTTTACCTTTACTTATGCAGAGATTTCATTACATGACGCTGCCGCCGTAAGCCCGTCAGATTCCTCGATAATCCGACCAGAGTAACCGCTTTCCAGGCACCTAGTTGAAGGTCCTGTGTTACGAGAATAACTTTCCCCAACAGATTACAGGGCATCGGACACGTGGAATGTTGTAGAATGTCTCAGGCAACTGACGTCATGAGAACTGGATTTATCTCTTATATCTGTAGGGAGATACAGAAGCAGATATCTGGGTCTCCAGATTCTGAACGGTTCTGAACCCACAGACACTGGCATTCCGGATGTGTGAACCGATATGCCTCTGCTAACCTGACTCCTAAAGATAGCTTAAGAAAAGAGTAGTTTCTTTTCCCCACAACGACCTATTTTACTGTGTAAAGCACACTAACCCTGTAAAGAGTGAATTTCTTCTAAATAACATACAAGAATTCAGTTCGTACCTCACAGGAAACATTACGTCATCGCTAAATAGCCCAAACGCTTAATGTTGTTTAGGGAACACACAAATACACAGTGTGGGGGGGCAGAATGCAGAGTTTTAGTATGTTGAAACAGGTGGTACATATAGTAACCATTGGCCTTTGAAAGGTAAAGTGCCATGTTGCTTACCAGTTGCAAGATAGTGAGGTATTTCTTCCACCAGAGGTATTTTGCGATGTGTGGGCCGAGGGCTGACAAGCCGTAGTACGTGTACATGAGAACATGAATGAAGCTGTTGGCCATCGCTGGCAGGAAGGCTGTACAGACAGACAGACACACGTCCGTGAGATCTCAGGTTCTCAGAGAGTCACTGTGAAGATTGCGGTCTCTAGGGATGTGACGCCCTCTCACTTAGTCATAGTTCCTGCTCTTCCTTCCACATATTCCAGCCTCCAAAACGTTGCTACCTCTTTACCACACTACACGGCGTCACATCCCAAAAGACTATAATCTTCAGAGATACGTACTTGACAGTACAAAAGCAGTAAATGCTATTACAGTCGCTCAGCAAACTCTGAAGGACAGCTGTTACGCAAGCAAATACAAATGTCGTTACTCAAGTGGCTGTGAATAGGCTTTGTGTGGTACTAACTGGCCCTGTCTGCTGGCACAGTCCGTCTCTCATTACTGCTCGGTTCAATGCACTGCGCTTTCCGCTCCGTCCCGACTGATTTGAGCCAATACCACATGTATCCGTTGCTGTATATATATATATGCTAGAATGTCCAGAAATATCCAGTGTTACTGCAGGATTCTTGATTTTATGTCAGGTGTAGTCCAAAAGTATCCTAACTTATTCGGTAGCCGGGAGGTTCAAGAAGAAATATTCTGCGAGTAAACGCGAATTTGAGGCCTATTGTACCGCGAATGCTATAGCAAGGTCAAGTTCCTGAGGATATACCAAACCTCACGGAAATATGGCTCAAAATAGTCGCCTTTGTATCGGCGTGACATCATGGATGGGGGCAGAAGGTAGGGGAAGGAGCAAATCAAGCATATCCCCCCTTCCGGATTTTTTAAAGAATACCGGAGTCTAAAACAAGGAGATGCTTTATCGCCATTGCTTTTGAAATTTGCTTCAGAATTTTCCACTAGGAATGTATAGGAAAACAAGGTGGAACTGAAATTGAGTAGGACACATCAGCTGCTGATCTGTGTTGATGATGTGAATTTGTTTGGGGATAAACACAGACAAAGGAAAACATAGAAGCTGTAATTGAGGATAGTAAGGAGAAATGTCAAGAAATAAACAGAAAACTAAGCACGTGTTGCTGTGTCGTCACCAGAATGCACTTGATTGCATATTTAACAGGTTCAAAAGATGCTTTATTCCGAATACTCTACGGCGATCACTAAAAATAGTCTAAAACGGCTTATACATAAGTTTGTAAATACATTTTCTCGCCCCCTTTCCCCCAAGAAACAAATCCCCGCGTTGTCTCCGCAACCGGCAAAATATAAGCCGTGGGATTACAACTGGATAGAAAAGTAGCAGCCACAGATGGAAAGTTAGCCTTTCGAATTGAAGAATTATGATCATTTCCTCTCCGCTGTTCTTGTGGTAGCGCCGCTGTTCGCTGTGTGACAGCTCCCGGTAGCGCAGGGAGCAGAGACACGCGACGAAAGTTCAAGGTAAAACTTGTTATGTCTCAGTTTTTGTTCGTAATGGCCCAGTCTTGTAGCTGAAGGCTGGCCGACTGATGGAGTTGGTCCCTCCCGTGGTTAGTTTCACCTTCCTTTTCTTTTTCCTTCTTTCTCAGCGGCAAGCATTCCCTCAGAAATTGATGGCATGCTTCTCGGAGCGAGGCAAGCGTTCTTCGGCTGTTCTTGCACCCACAAAATCGACGTACGTGTTCATGTTTCATATTTTTAACGGTAGACGAGATGGTACGAGTTATTGGGAATATTTCGGCTCCATCTGTTATGTTAAAGACCAGTTTAAAATAGGGTAATGCCTGGTGATACGGGTAAAGGTAGGAATGCGCACCTTGATGGCGCAATCGCAACAGGAATTTGCAAACTACGTCAGTCAGCTTTGCGTCGTTCTTCTGTTCGCATTAAACAACTCGAGAACTGCTGGATGGATTTTCATGAAGTGTGATATTTGAGAGTTTCGCTGAAACGTACTTGTACCTTCAAATTTTAGTTTAAATCGAACAGAAGTAAAGAAAACTTCACATGGAGACCTACGTGCATTTCTGCGCATGTTTCGAGAGTAGCTCGTCAAATATTTATCGAAGCGAAAAATGTTTCGGACAGAACTTGTGGAGTAGAATGAGAAAAACATTTTATGCCTTAAATCTTATGATTTCGAGATGATTCGACGGAAGGAAATTCTGCCCTCTCATCTTCTGATTCGAAAATTATTCGACTTATTTTGATCACACTGTACTCGTATATTGGAGGGGGTGCTTGTACAAAGGTCGAGAGCAGTGTGAAGGCAGCGGAACTGTAACGCTGTGCTGCGTTTCTGAACTTGATTTAGACGGGAACGTGCATTTACGCGACGGAAATTTCCATTTTGCCTACCCATTAGCATGACCGGTGTGGGGAATCAGTAGCTTAGTGCTGATCCCGGAACACCGTATGTACTCAGTATTCGTCACACAGAATGTTTATTTCAATCTCGAACCCTGGACTTCCTGAAGGCCTACATTCACCGCACATCACCCCCCCCCTCCCCCGTGTAGTGTCGTTCAGAATTTGGTTACCACCGTATATACTCTTCGCGTTTGCCCTAGGTGGATGGTTAGTGCAAGAGGTACTTAAGTGGAACAGTACTATCTTCTGCAATGTGGCACTGTGCGGTCTGGCAGAATTTCACTGAAGTTTCATAGGACTGTCTGCTTCCATCTTCAGAGATAAAGTCTGTTTTGACCCTGAGAATGGAGGCAATATGTTCGTTGGGAACGTCAGTGAAGTTGTGCCAGACTACACGGCAGCACGCCCGAGAAGACGGTGACGTCTGTCAGAGCCTCAGATACAACATGTGTACTTACTGGACCCACTGGGCACCCACTTGATGCCTATCCACCATAGTGAGAACATTGTCGAGTGATGGTACACGTGCAGGAAGGTCAACTGGTTCTCCTTCTTCCGTAAGATGAAAAAGAAGGTGTCGCAAAACTCGATCAGCTTGGAGACGTAATACCACCAGACCGCATTGGCTATCTGCGGACCAAGTACATGCAGGAATTTCTCTGATCGTTAAACTGGACGAATAATATCACCTCTATGCATGCTTAAGACAGCAGTCTTACTCGATATGACGCCGTGTATTCTGGTAGATGGATTACTAACGTCTTCATCTTCGGAATAAATGTAGAAAAATATTTTATGACCTGAAGATGGAGGCAGTGAATCCCTCCAAAACGCTGGTAATTATGTAACAAAGTACACGGCTTCACATTCCAGAAAACAGTGGTCTTAATGCTGAAGCGCGCTGAGAACCTCAGAACTGATAACATGGACTATATTGAATGCCTTCAGGTTCAGCCTCTACTCGTGTCACGTCGCTGGAATTATTCTATATCGCGCAAGCGCATTTAGCATCTTAGTCTACGCGCTAATTTAAAATGTAATCACAACAGTTGATAACATTTTATGCGGTATTCTAAACATAATTTTTTGTAATGTAACTAGTTTTAGTATTTACGTGAATTCGAAGGTAGTGTTAAAAGATCTGTGAATTTGAATAATAAATATTTACTATTATTTCTTTAGGTTATCTGTTAAAAAAACTCAGTAGACACTGAAGAAGGAAGTCCCGTTTGGCCCAGTGTCTCAGCGTCGCCCCGGGAAGGCCGCGTCTTCACGTGCGTTTCGTCTAGTTCACACATCTGTTTTGCTTTACATGCAGCCTACCGTATGATGCCTTCACAGCAAGAAAACCTGTTTGCTCTTGCGATAGCTCAGTTCGTCTAGGAATTAGGCTATGGGCTGAACGACCGGGGAATCAAGGTTCAATTCCCGGCAGGGGCAAGATTTTCTGTTCTTCACAGTGTCCGGACATGCTCTGAGGCCCACCTAGCCCCGCGCCTAATGGACACAGAGCTCTTTCCTCGGGGGTAAAGTGGAATAAGCGTGAAGCCTACCATTCACCTCCAGCCATTGCTGAGGTTAGGAAAGCGTGGAGCTATACTTTCATTCCGCCATACGTCTTCTTGGCATGGTAGCATTTGCTTTTGTTAGTTTGGTACCTGTGCCGTCAGTGTCTAGACAACATGGCGTCGAACAGTAGGAAGCGGTTGTGGCCTAACCGAGGTAATATCCTGGCATTTTCCTTGAGGGACTGAGTAAAATGACGATAGCCAGTATCCCGCGCGAGTCCCGAAGCTGGATACCCTACGCGCTGCTTGCCAAGTGCTTGGATGCTCACCCTTAGCTCCTCTGGATGGGACAACCGCGTTATGGGCTGGCACACGTAACTGTACTTGAGCTTCGTGGAGGCACTGAGCAACTGCGAACAAAACAGGCAGACATTATGTGAGGTTGTCACTACTGTGACACCGTATAGTTTGGTAGATAGGTACCAACGTTTGGGAAAAACATGTTCCTCAGGATCATTGCCAACTGTATACCAAACTACACGGCGTCACCTCCATGAGAACGTAAAGCGTTTAAGTCCATTGTCACATATTCGTTGTATTGGATTAACGAAATATATTTTTGTGCATATTTCACTTCTCATAACGTGCTACATGCCCTGCCGCCCTTGCTTCTTCATCACCTTAATGGTATTTATTGAAGATCAGGGCTGTATATTACTGTATATGCCCCTCTTGTTCTGTCTTGGTTGGATACAAATGTACTCATCATCACATTGTTAATCCTCCTCATGGTGAGATTACCAAGTTTCACACCCGTACATGCCGGAATGATTAAACGCTGTGTGGGAAGTCACGGCGGTGCGTGTTGCTGCCCCCCCCCCCGTATAAGCGCCAATTACTCACCTCGCTGGCGATATAGAAGTTGAGCGCCGCCATGGACAAGTTGTAAGGTATGAGCGCCCATGTTAGTCTGAACGGCTGGCGGTGCTTCATGATCCTGGGTCCAGCCCACACGATGGCCAGGTATAGGACGGTGTACAGCATTGTGGGCATCGGAGAGTCGACTAAGGGCCATCCTCGCGTCCGATGATCTGGAGCAGCAAAACATGACCCTCGAGTGGAAAATGTTTATAATTTCGCATCAAAATTCTGCATTTGAACTGCTGTATCAATGTGAGCGACTCCGTTCGGAATTAATCGTCTATTCTTTCGGGATGAGTGGCTTAAGGTGGCTATAACAGTGTCAGCCTTACCGAGTGAGGGATGCACGCGCGACATTTCGTATCCTGTCTGTACAAGGCGAACATAACCTGTTCTGCCACCTGATTCATGGTTTCCAAGTTTCATAAAGCCCACTGCAGGTGTAGCGAGTCGCCACTTGCCTGTGAATGTCACACTATGTCGCCATACATGGTGAAGCACCAAGCCGGACGGGGGAGTGGATCTACAGCTCTGTACATTCGTAACCTCGGCAACTAGACGGAGGTGAGTGGTCAGATTCAAGTTCCTGCTGCTTTACCCCCGGGGAAAGAACCCTCGATACCCATTTGAGAGGAGGCTGTGTTCCAGAATCGGTCTGGATGCTGCGGAGAAGAGGAAAATCTCTCCCCCTGCCAGGAATCGAACCTGTAGTCCTCTACCGTTCGGCCCATAGCCCGTTGCTTTACCGGCTGGGATGTGCCCTGAAGACTACACTTGTAAACACTGTCTGCAATGAACGGACATGTTAGTTCACCATATCTTTATAAGAGCTGTGAAGATTAGTTGCCCTGCGTGTAGCTATATGCCGTTGGATCCTCGGAATGCTGTGCACAAGATACACGATTCAACTGTCAGAAGAAAAAAAAAGATGTTGTCTGTGTTGTAACGAGAAAGATGAGCAAACAGAGGGAAGGCGAGCCTGTGAGCAGGGTACAGTACCTGCCAAGGAGAGTGTCCACAGGTAATAGTTGTACACCCCGTGTATCATGGACTGCGTCGAGTTCAGCAATGCAGACATGATGTATGGTGCGTAGCCCACTGAGTTCAGGAGTTCAGCTCCTGCAAGCAATTACACTCCATCAACACAGATGTTGTAATCTGATTGCAGACAATTTATTCCTTGCCTTTGTACTGACGTTACTGCTTGCTAAACTCTTTGGTTGCCGTTAATTTAAGCTGAATAAGCAGTGAGTTTAAGAGGAAAGAGATGGGTTATGAATGCGTCGTGCTTTGGAGACGTCTACACGTGCACAGTTTTAGCCGGAAAGCCGGAGTGGAAGAGAGAACGCGGGAGATCTAAGCATAGAGGGGCGGGTATAATATTAAAACTACTCCTGAATAAATTGGGTTTGAAGGAGTGGATTGGATTAATCTGAGTCAGGGGGAGTTTCTTTATCAGCTGAGACACTATTAGCTTATCAAGAAGGACTCTGCTCTGTGGAGTTGGTTAAGAGTGTGGATTCATATGGCACGATTTATTGTAACGCAGCGCACTCAGATGATGGAATGTGCTGAACTGAACACTGTCTTTCTGTATTTAATTTTTGTGGGTTAGTTTTCGACTCGATCAGTATCTAGACTCTGTAGCATTGAATAATAGGATGCCTTATGAATGGTGAGTGGGAAAGAATTTGTAAGAGAGCGGTCCTGGCGTAATTTAGATACTTCATTCATTCATCAATGGAACTACGGCCCTTTGTTGGGCCCTGCTTCTTCTTCAGTTTGGTAATATTTTTTTACGCGGCCCGTAGGACTCCTTGGACGAGTGATCAGCCCGTCGCAAGGCCGCTACCTACACACAGGACAACACAAACACAGAATAAACGCACAGATAGACATCCATGCCCTTGAGTGGGACTCGAACCCACGATCCAAGCGTTTCGAGTGAGCGAAGACAGTTCATGCCCCTGCCCCCTCTTCAGAGTACTCGATCTACCAGGTTGTACTGTGGCATGAATCGGGAGCAGTCCTGTTGCTTCAGAAACACACCAGCATCGCTATTCTGTTCTTCCTTGCACAAGTTTAATTAGAAACGGCATCCGTGTCTTCGAACTCAGGGGAAAAACGCGTTTATGTGTAAATAAAAGAGACACATTTCATGTTTTGTTTTTGTTTTTTGGCCAGGACGCTGGTGGGGCTACCCCGCTCGGAAGCACCGGCCATCCTGACTGAGGTCTCTCGTAGTTGACCTCGGCCTCTCCAGACAAATGCTGGGATAGCGCATCAATTAGGCCACGACCACTTAAAAATATTCTCCAATTAATCACTGAGTAGTCGTCCCGCCACCGTTTATTCACTCATCAATGGCTCTACAGTCCCATGTTGGGCCATCCCGCTTTTTCAGTTTCATAATCCTATACACAGTCGGAACGACTCCTTGGATGGAGAATCAGCCCGTCGCAAGGCCTCTACCTACACAAGACAACACAAAAGCTGGTAGACATCAATGCTTCGACTGGCTTTCGAAGACACGACCTCAGCGTTCGAGCGGGCGAAGGCACAGTTCATGGCCTTGACAGCGCGGCCTCTGTGATGGGCTGTTCTGCCTTCAGACACTCTGACAGCAGAGAATCTACTGTATATACCGACACAGTCGGTGGGAAGGAAACACAGATTCTTAAATGAAGAGAATTGTTTTGCTGTAATGTAGAGAATTTACCGGTATACTCGTATTTGTGCTTACGCCAGCTGTCAGCAGCTGAGCAGATCAGGAACTCAACTTGACGTGTTTATAAACCGCCCAGGCGGGAGGTCAGCTTTGCGATCTGCCGGCCTCACTGACTACACAGAGCTAATATGAACAGTAAAAATCAGATAAGACTTGACGAGTCTGTGCGGCTATATTTTATGGTCAAGAAACGGCCTTGCTTCGGCTACAAGTCAGTACCACTAACCGTGGTGTCGAATCTGCTGAACCTAACTAGCATTGCGGGTTGCAGCGCCTGCCCTGAAGCAGAATAGAACAAGCGCGGAAATTTCTTGCATGAAAATCTGAGTTTCTGACGTCTGTCTTGTAGAATGTGACGTCGTATAGTTTGGTAGACAGTGTATTGCTGTAATGCTTCTTGTCGTTTGTCCTCACTGTAATGCGAAGGTGTTAGTAAGTGACAGGTTTAACAAGTATATCAGATGCTACAAGAATATACAGAAGGTGGGTCTTAGACCCAGTTGAGCTCCTGCTGCTCCCAATGAGGTGCACTAAGCTGTCTGGCCTTCCCAGCCGTACACTCCTCTGGGCCTTTGGTCAGGGTAAATTTCGTACACGTGGCAAAGGCATGAAACTAAAATTTCAAGTAATCAGAATGACACAAGATTTTCTTATAGAGGCGTACAGACATGCGACATTACAGGCATGTTTTATGGTATTCCTCTCGAGAGGTCGCATGGTCTATTCTGCTGTTCTCGGTGATAAGAGAGTAATAGTCTTACAAAAGCATGAAGTTAAAACTATTGAAAACAGTAATTACAATATGAAATTAATATTCTTCATTACGTCAATACACTAGGAATCAACATCAGACGTGTCTGCAGGGCAGAAGAGGGAGGCATGAAGTGCCTTCGAAACCTTTGTTCCTATCTACCAAACTACACGGGATCGCATCCCGGAACACTACAAATCTTAATCGGAAAATAGTTTATATACATAAGGACAGAACCCTGCATACGTTTATGACAGTTCAGTAATGGTTTGTTAATTCTAAGGTTGCAGTCACATGTTTTAACATGAACAGAAAGAAAAAAAGCCCATTGATGAGACATCACCATCTCAGAAAAACTGGAAAGGATTGATACTTACTTACTTCGAAAAAGAAATAAATAAAAATGTTTAACAAATCAACTCACAGCATGAAGACAAAGTCAATATAGAAGCACCGATAAAACTAAGGCTTTCCGTAAGAGAAAAGCCCTTTTTGGAAGCGTCGCCAGTGATTTATACCTTCATTTGCACATTGTCCGAAAAGCACGAGATGTAGAACGGCACCTTCGCTAGATCACAACGGGACACATAATGAAGCGAGGGAAATGTCGATAGAGCCGTTCGTCTGTCACAGTTTCATTGTATCCCCACTCCGGGCCAAGTATGTTCAGATCAGCATACAACTTTTACGCTTACCTAGCGAATAGTACAACCAGCTTAATGTCTATCGGGTAGGCTGTGACCAATGAATGCCACTTGTCCTAGATTCCCTCTTGTGCTTCCTCCACCTCCAGTCTCCGCGGACCACATGGTGCTCGCAGGGGAAGAACGCTTACATTTGAAGCGTGAACTGGTGAATAATGATAAGTCATACCACCCTCTCCTCTCGGCGTCAAGTCCTATTGGCTGTCTGACTGACCCGTTTCTTCATAACTTCTGTCTTTTTTTTAAGAGGATGGTAAAAGTTTTTCGTGTTAAAGCAACGTGAATTTATTTATGAATTCTTTGTTAATTCATGTTGCGTCTGCGGATTCAGGTTTCTCGGTTTGTGAATGTGATGACTTGTAGTATCGCTGGGCTGTGAGGGCCGGAGGTGGTATATATCGAGTGATGATGATAGCACGTCTGTACTGGCCACGTCTCGGTCGGATTGGCACTAAGATTCATTGCATACTGGGCGTCCAACAGAATGTTACTCAAACCGATGCCCGTGATCATGGTACAATGATGACATGTGCGCTGGGTGTGCATGCAACACACCTAAACGCTACATTGATTCTGACTATCATAACCATCACTGTCATTAATATAGGTTTTTTTTTTCCTTGGCATTACAGCCCCAGTGGGCCTAGGCCTACCTCCATGAACTACGTTCACTTCGGTTTTTCTAGATCTTAGACATTTGGTAGGACTCCTTGGGCGAGTCGCAAGGCCTCTACCTGTAGACAAACGCAGAAAAACGCACACAAACATCCATGCCCTGAGTGGGATTCGAACCCACGATCCCGGTTTCCAAGCGAGCGAAGACAGTGCATGCCTTAGACCGCTCGGCTACCGTGACCGGCTAATATAGGAGGTTAGGGTTATGAAAACCACAGACTGTGATAAATAACATATTAGCCATTTAAATAAAAATGGTTACTATATGTACCACCTGCTTTAACATAAAAAACTCTGCACTTTTCTTACACAGAATATTTAGCATATGTGTTCCTTTTGATTGATGGGATGGCATGGATTGGATTGATCTGGCTCATGATAGGGACCAGTAGAAGACTCTTGTCAACACGGTAATGAACCTTGCGGTTCCATAAAATGGTGGGAAATTCTTGAGTAGCTGCAGATTTGGCTTCTCAAGAAGGGCTCAGCTTCATGAGTAAGTTCCTTTTGATTCTGAGAATAGACAATTGTTTTTTCCACTAAGAACTTTAAGGGGTTGGTCTTAGTAGAGGAGACGCGGTGTGTTTTCTGTGAGTTATGAACTTAATTTTCAAATGTTACTCAGAAAAATGTCATGGGTCAAAGATTCAAAATTTTCTGCCGCGGTGACTGGCTCGAGTCGGTCACTGCTCGCTTCATGTTGAAGAGAACGTCATTTTCTGTTCGGCGTTCGCGCTTCTTACAAAACGCGCCTGCCTTTCTGTTGGCATGACTGTGCACCCTACAAGTTTAGTCAATAAGAAGCGGCAGGTATTTTCACCGGTTGGCACTCCTGCTTCATAATCGGGAATAATCCAGGGTTCACATTCAACCAGGAGACCGATGTCCTGATTGACGTATTTCGTGGTATTTCTCAGTCTATCCAGGCAGTGGACTCCCTGTAGCATCGTTAAATAGACCATAAATAAATATAAAATGCCCCGTCATTTGGGAATGGTATTTCGTTTCTTGCAGTGAGGGCGCTGTGGAGACATGACCCAGAACCGGAGCAGTAGAACATTCACACGCGACCGACAAGTCGTGTCGTACTTGGGCGACTGAATATAAGATCTTTATTGCTGTATCTGGACTTCAAACACAGCGACAAGAATGTGTTGCCGTCCGCACTGTAAGCGAAGTTTCATTCATAATAACATGCCTTTAAAAGGATTTTACCCAAGTTCTGTGTAAAGAAAATATCGTTCACTTCTGGACGATCAAACTATACGCGGGTATTCAATGCACGAACAATTCACTCTCTTAACCTCAGGCTAGTGTCATTAGTTTTGCGTGCAGCAATGGCAGTAAGACCTAGGTTGTACTACGAACTTAGATGTGCACACTGGGGTCACACCCTCATGGGGCCGCTCGCACCCTTGAGGAAAACGAACAATGAGCCACAGGGGGGAAACATGTGAAAATGACACGCGATGTAACACTGTTCTGTTCATGCCCTAACATCTACAAACCTGTTATGCAGCCTGTTTCTTCAGGGTGAGTCTGGTTTCATTCTTGTCGTCCACTGTCTCGTCATGGCGGTCGTGTTTCCACGTTTCAGATCAATAAGGAACCTGACCATCGCGTTCTAACTGCTAGTGCGCCTGCGCTATGGAGGCTGTCTTCCTTGTGGAGTGATTTCTACGAGAAAACTGTTCTGAAAATTGCATCTAGTTCCTGAACTTCTGTTCAGCTACTAAACCTTGCTTTTCTTCCAGTTATATGCTTGGATTATTCGGAATTACTTTCAGCGCTCGGCCCTGGGGTAAAAATATACCCCATCGAAAAAGAAGACTGTCGTTTACACATTTTTCAGGGAATGCGTTAATCAACTAAATTGTTTAGTGCGGCGTTTTTGAATCATTTTCAATCCACGTACCCTTGACCTCAAAGGGAAACTATTTTAAACAAATTTTAATTATGTTGGGTTTGAGAAATTCACGGCTCTGACGCTTTGTAGTCTGGTACATCGTTACCGACATTTTGGAGGAACCTGCTTGCTCCGAAACGTGTGTAATAATCTACCAGGCTAAAAGGCGTCACAACACAGAAGACGGCAATCTTTGTGTCTGGTCTCATGCACTCTTTCGACAGACAGATATCTGTTTTTCGTCAAAAACGAAAAGAATGAAGGAAGAAATGTGTAAGACAGTGATGAGGAAGCACAGAAGTCAAATGTGTGCGTGTTAAATTAGTTTCCCAAACTAAAGCAGTTTCCCCTACTGTAGCATATCGCCCATAGAAAATCCATACTCTTTTATCCTAGAAAAAGGCAATTGTGTAAAGAAAGCTTTCTCCAAACAATGTGTCATACATAACCCGAAGAGAAACACACTTGTTCTCATGACCGGCAAGTGTTGGGACCGCTTTCATTCAGATAACGGCGATCGAAAGAGAAATACGAGATGCAGTCCAAGAGACGAGTCTCATCTCCCCCAAGGGATGTCCAACTTGCAGCCATTGTCAGACTTGGCATCTCTTCTACATATTTCATGTGGTAATTATAAAGGCCACATATTAAAACATTATTATTTGCGTGTATGGATACAGCGTGTTGTGATTCAGTGATCAAACGTATGGGAACACGTCATTGTCTTTATGAAGTCCCCAGGTATACCCCACAGTATCTGTGTAGGGTCGTGTTTTGCTGAAAATGGTATAAATTTATTTTCCTTGTTCATAAGGGAAAGCGCAGTGATTTTTCTTATTTTGAAATACGAAGATGAAGTTTCCATCTCCATCCGATAGATGATAGCGAAGGGTTCCGAAAGTTCGATGCATCTGTCCGTTTGCAACAGTTCTAGACCTGCTGAGCTAATATTGACGAAATCCGACGTCGGACAGTTTTAATAGAATTTGTTCACGTGTCCCAAGAATTGTTTACCTGGACAATAACATACTTGAGTTTCTATGCCCGTAACTCGATGTTTATCGGAGTGAAACCAATTTCGATGAGGCACTGTACATATACGGTACATGCTGCAGTAATTTGGCTGCACGTGTTGAGGGTGTTCGTAACAAGGCGCTGAGGGGGCGAATTGCGGATCATAGTATTCCTGGGAGAAATGAGAAAGGAATACAAAATTTTGGTAGCAAAATGTGAAAGGAAGTGACATATTGCGAGAACTAGACGTAGATGGGAGGATAATATTCAAGTGGGTAAGGAAGTGCGGCATGACAGTATGGACTGAATTCGCGTGGCTCGGGATATAGTATATAGAGTGGTTGCTTCAGAACCTGGCAGTCGTTTAGCTGGTCAAGAAATTGCACTGTATTACCGTGTTAAAAAGAGCATATTCTTAGCGAGATGAATCTAGTTCACATCTTCACAGCCTCGTTTCTCAATGTCCATCTAAATATCCATTCATTTATTCCTAAGTCTCTCCAGGGGTGAACGAGCACCCCCGGAACACGCCAACCCTCTCGGGCCCAAATTGTAGCCTCCCGTACAAACAATTTATTTGCGGAAAGGGAACCAGGCAGTCGGTATTTGTACAGTTAAAGTCAAATACTTGCTTGTATGGTGTACTGTTAACTGCAGTTTAACGTTTCAGTTAGTGTAAAGCAAAAGCGTAAGCCATCTTGAAAATTCATTCTGAGACAGATTGAAAGATGTATGGAGATGCGAGGATTGGTCTCACGCGTCCTGTAATTCCTTCCGTGTTGTGAGTAACGCGCACAGTAAATAGTTCCATTAGTTCGCTGATCAGTGTGCAGCTAAACCAACTTGGCCGGACCCAATTACACGTCCGAGACCTGAACTCGTCAGTCATCACCCGTGTCCACGGGGCTGTTTCAGCTTTCCTTGTATTTAGGTACACATGACCGCGAGACCAAAGCAAACTTCAGGGAACTGTGGTTCCTGTGGAACATGTTCCAGTTCCAGTCCGGGAAGGAGGCTGGTTTAGAACCAAGGGCACTCCGCTATGCGGGCTCAGTGGGATTAAATCAAAATTTGCTTTCACGCAGTAATTTAGACTGGATAAAGTCTAAATTAGTGTGGGGGGGCGCTTATTGTCTGTATTCTCATACGTTTTATAAGAAACGTAAAGATTGAAATTGTCAAAACTAATTTTATCTGTGAGTGGAAGTTGCGTTCTTATGCTAAGGAAGCAACACAAAATTGAAAGTGCTGAGAACGAGGCGTGGAAGTCAGTATTTTGGTTTAAAACGGAGGACGTAGACCAAGGTGTGGATAAAAGGGGCTTCAG